CCACCCCTCTGGAAATTCTGACTGAGCCTCATACATTTCTTTAAATTTTTTGGTCTTGCAGAACCCCCACCCCCACAGGAAATTCCAATCCCTTCTGTGGGAGGGAGTATGGATATTTTCTGGAACTGAGCAATGTCAGAATTGAGTTATTCACACCTGCCTGTTTTATTAGGTGTCAGTTAGATATACATGCAGTAAACAACACAAAAACAAAATTAGGCAATTTCCCAGAAAACAATAAAATTATAAATTACAATGAGAATTTTTTTGTTTAGTGAAAAAGAGACTTTGATTTTGCTTTTTATCTGTCTCAAAACAAATCAAATATATTTCCACTGACCTGATCCGGTTCTGTCCAAGAATGAATCTTCGTCACTATCATAGAAATCATTTTCTTCCCAATTTTTCTCTTTGTGCTTCTTGCTCTCTGGTCATGAAACATAAGGAAAGAATGAATACAAGATTTGCCCTTAGTCCAAACTGGGTCACTTAGAAGAAATATGGTTCTGTAGTCAGAGACATAGACATAGTTTAGTTTACTTGGTTGCACACTTAGCTATGGTAACAGTGCATCCCATACATGGAAACTTGATGAGCAGAGTCTACAAGATGCACCAGCAAGTTTACAGGTGCACTATAACAGGTGCACCATATTCCATGACAATTGTTTTTATAAAAATAAATTAAAATATGAAAAAGAAAGATTCTTTGTTTAATTAAATATTTTAAAACCCCAAGAAGAAGGTGGAAGAAATTGATGTACAATGAAGCATTTTAAGATCAAAATCAAGAAGATAGAATACATGCTGAAACACTCTATCAAATGTTTGATATATTTTCTCAATCAAAACTGAAATCAAGAAGTACAGTCATGTAATGTAAAACAAGGCCCATGTCAAACGTTGAACTTCACATAAGACCAACCAAACTGAGTGAATGAGCCTCATGATAAGTTCAACGTTTGACTCAACTGAGTTCGTCTGACTGAATTTAGATCCACCAACACATCCTATCTGTCTGAAGCAGACAGATAGAACTGTTGGTTGATCTAAATTTGGTTTAAATTTGATGTTTGACCCAATGGTCAAGCTTTACCCATTTGGATCGACTCAAATTGCAACTTAGCTCAACGTTTAACCTGGGCTTAAAATAATACAAATCAATACTTATTGAAAGCAGATACATACATGTACATGTAAACCACAGGTAATGATTTGGATTTTTGCTTTTAATCAATTGATAAATTTTTATTTCTAAAAAATTATTTACAGCAATATTGCTTTGATCTGCAGACGATCAGGTTATCCCACACAATCATGATCCAGTTAATTTCACCGTACCATGGGAAGATTGTCTAAGGAGGCCAGCAGCATCCAGCAGTCTACATGCTTCCTTAGCACACTCCAGTACTGCCTCCTTCTTCTTTCCTGTGACAGCAGCCTCGGCATAAATAGGATCACCACCAGGACCATCAATAGGCAGTCTGCAAAGAGTTCAAAATTACAATATTATTTTCCATCGTTCCCCCACATAAGACACACGTAAGATTTAACCTAAAAATTTCTATATTGGCGATATACACAGAAGCTTTAGACATCTCTGAAGTGTCTCTGAATGAATTTTGTCTAAAAGCAACAACTAAACTACAATACCACGGCAATTTCTGTTTAGTAGAGCTTTGTCATCAGAGTATGTTCAGATCTCGGGAATCTTGAGCAGGGAAAGAATTGAATACCATATAAGATATTCATTTACTAACTTCACTCTGCAGAGAAATACTTTTGCATGTCCTGGCCCTTTCTCCTCAACATCGTACTCCAGCTCCAGCCCTAACAAAGATAGTCAGAAAACACTCTAAGAAACAGTGCAAGAAAAACCATACATGTATATCTAGTGGACACAACTGGATTACTCTATCGAAAGACAGAAACTTTATGTTGCATGAGTTCTTAACATATTGATTGCACAAGCAAAGAATATTAACATTTACATTTTGAAAAAGTCAAGAAAATTTTGGGAGGACACAAAAAATTGGTACTAATACTAGCCTAGGTTAACCAGTCTCTATAGTGACTCTGAAAGCTCATTTATTAAAAAGGACATTAACCTTTAATGTTTTAATTATTAACTAATTAAAAATATAAAATTTCACCTTCTCTTTCAAAGAATCCCCTCAGAGTCTTTTTAGGATCTTTAAAGTGATGTTCTTCTGCTTCCTTGTCAACCTCTCCAAAGTCAGGTGGATACGCAGGTTCTTCAACGGCATCCTCTCCTAAAAACATGATTCAATCGATCAGATAATAAGTTACTGAGATCTTGATGAATTTTCAAAAAAAGATACATGATTTCAAACTAGGTTTAACTTAATAACTCAATGTTTTCAAGTTTCAATTTTTGGTATATTACAGTGTTCCAGCTAAGCTTTTAGAGAAAGGCTCAGTCACACCATAATGAGAACCTCATGTGCTTGCGGCCTAGTTTGCCATCAATAACATCACCCATTGAAATAATAAGCTCTCAATGAGAGCCCTTACAAAACAAAAAAGAAGAAAAGAGAAAGGTGTGAAAAAGAACTCAGTTTAAAATACAAAATAATTAAAGATGCTGCCATTGCATGTACCAGACCAACTGGACATGAAAGCTGACAGAGAACGCAAAATGGTTTGAGTCACTCTCTCAAGCCTCAGGTGGGCCAAGTTATTGAAAACCAAAATGCATGTGTGTGGTGATCAAATTAAACCACAGTGGGAAAAATGTCATGTCAAGTGGAGAAAAAGAGAAAAAGAGAAAAATCCATAGGGGGAATACTCCCATGTGGAAAGGTTGAGATGCCTAATTATGCCTAGAGAGCAAATAAGAGCATTTGTTATTATCATTTCTTTGAGTGCACCCTAAAAAGTAAAAAATAGTGGCATTTCATCCTGAACTCCTAAGTGAAACCAGAATCCTTGATTTACAGTATACCCCTCAGCGAGATGACTAGCAGCCCCGATCTTTTCATATGAAAGTCCCCCTCCTCCGGGAGAGATTTACATACCGTCTCTATTGGAGATTGAATAGTTAGATCTTTTTATTTCTTAACCACAGGAATTGTTTCTCACCTATCCCCCAGTCTATGCCTGTGTCCTCCTCACTTTGTCTTCCTCCTTCCTTTTCTTTCTTCCATTCTTCATATTCTTCTTCTGTCATCACACGGCCCACTTCACTACTCTTGGTTACTGCTTGTTCTGTCAAAGGCTTTGATTCAGATTCTTCACTTTCTTCAGGACCCTGGTGAAATTGTAAAGAAAATTTTTCCAGCTGAGAGAAGCATTGAAAGGCACAGAAAAATTTCATATTAGCCTTTAAATCTGATCTTGTGGTGTGTAGACGTTGCAATACAAACGTACATTGCTCAAGACCTTCCAATAATCAGAAGATACCAGCAATGCATCCAATTAGACTATACTTTTACCAACACACTTTCACTTGCTGTGTTAATTAAGCTATAGTGAACATATGTGCATATAACTGGTACTTATAGATGACATTCTTTCAATTCCAAGGCCACACAGGGAGAATTAAAGAGTGTCACAAGCTCAGGGGGGTACTCCCGTAAATTTCAGACAGGTATATACCACGAAATGTCTTAAAACCTGACCCTATTTAAGGATGAAGCAAAAGAAAATTGATACACTATTTACAGTAAGGTCTCAATTTTGTTTCAGTAACTTTGGAAGTTAAGCATCAAGCTTAGAATTTATTTTTCATTTAGCCAGGCAATTATGCATTGTAATTTTAGCTGACAAAATTTAGGTAGCCTATATAAGGATCACACCAGAAACACGACGCCAACAGGGGCAAACCTCAAAAACCTCAAAAGCCATACCCTATCCCACAGCCAATACCTACATGTATGAA